ACAAATTTCAGCGCCGTCGAAACTACCCAATAGTGACGTCAAATAAACTGTTGCTTCCGTCTTTTTTTGTCCATAATTTGCCGTTGCCGAAAAGTAGAGATTTTCTTGCATGTTTTATTATTGAAATATCGTTTTTGGTAATAGTAGTCAAATCCGAAGCCCAGGGCAATGCTTCATTTAAAAGTTTTTCGGAAATAGATGGGTAAAAATCCCCAATATCAAATGAAATAAAACTGCCTGTCTTTATCGTTTATATTGCCAAACCATGAAATTACTTGTTGCGTATTTCTCCATTGATTTGAATTTAGTTTTTGTCTCAAATTGAAATTGATTTTATCTAAAATAACCTTACTTAGTTTTCCGGATTCGCTTTTTGCGGGATTATATTAATTAGTCGGCATTTTGGATTGTTTTCGAAATTTTCTTTGTGATCTTTTAAAGATATAAATGCTTCGCGTTTTTTCATTCGTTCAATTCTGTCGCCAATTCCTAACCTACTCGAAATTTCTTTCAATTCGGAGTCAATTTCATGCATGAAGTCCTCTGATCCATGTTTGTACGTTTTCGTGATGTTGTCATGTAAGAGTTCGTTGTATGTGTTCAGTGACGTTTCGTAAATGTTTCTAGTTTTGTCCGCGAAAATGAAAATGTTGGGGGATGAATTAATTTTCTTCAAATCGTTAGCCAAAGATGTCTGAAATTGGTCTTTAGGACACCGGAATTTTACGTTTTCAATTAGTTTTATCAAGTCGTCTTCGAAAGGTTTCAAAAGTGGAATTGAAGGAGGCGACTTGTTAGACGAAAGGCCGAAAAGGTTGCTTTGGTTTTGAGTCGTTGATCCTTTTAGGAAGAAATTAGGTTTCCATCTCATACGTTTTGTTACGCTTTCCACTTTTTCAATCAAATTCTTTAGGTAAGCATCCTGTGATGGTATAGGAATATTCTTTAGTGAATAATCGAATCGAAATTGTCGCATGTTTGAAGTAGAAATAAAATGAATAACGTAGACAAGAGTGCACAACCGATTACCGGGTGCAAATATAGTTTAAGATTTTGGTTTACGAAACACAAACAGTGCTAAATACCATATAGATAGAGCGTAATATAGTTTTTCGTTTTACCTCAAAAAACCACAACGGTCTGTTTCATCCGTATAGGAATCATCAGGTGGTGAATAATTTCGAAATTGTAGGTTGCTTTTATGCTATCGAAAGAATGTTCGGAATGCGTGTAGGCGAAACAATGCTTAGGTGAAACAATGCATGCTTGGGTCATTAGGTTTTGTTAACGACCTTGTTTACTCGAAACCGATTTTTGTGACGACATTTGCCGAAAATTTCGCTTCTTTTATTGAGTAAATTGTCTTTGTTTATGTCTTTCAAAATGCAAAATTTTTCTTCCAAACATAAATTGCAGCGTTTTGATCCCCCTGTGTACGAAATAGCGTGTTTTAAAATTGACCATTTGATGGTATAATCCTGATTGTTTTCTTTTAATTTCCAAATATGTTTCGAAAGTTCCGTTTTGTTTGAGTCTTTTTTATGACGAAAAGATGAAGTGTGGTTAGCGTAACGTTCCTTAAATGTAGTCGCTGTCATACCAATGTAGTGTTTAGTGTCGTTCGTGTTGTTCGTTGTGACTGTTGCTTTGTAAATAATGTTGTTGGTCATGCATTGTTTCGGTAGTGGGCAAGTGTTTTTGTTGTCGCAGTTACAGTTGTCAGTTTCCGTATTCTGTGATTGACTGTTCCTAATTATATGTGCGTTGTGTTTGGTGATTATAGACTTGACGTTGTTCATGCAACTGTAGCTTACTTTTAAAGTGTTTCTGTTAAAAATCTTGTGTAGTTTGTGCTGTAGTGGGAAGTGTTTGTCAATTAAACTTAAGAATTCCCGTCCTATGTTCGTGTTAACACTCTTACTAAATGGTGGGTTGAACCAAATTATGTTGCGTTGCCTATTCCTACGTGTCCGTTGCGGTGCATCCTGAGTGTACGTAAATTCATGATCAAAGTCACTATGTGTAAGAGCGTTCTGGTAAATAGGGGTGGATTCCTTAAATGTTTGTTCGTCCGATGAGAGAAGTGCAATGCGTTTGTTGATAGCTGTAGGTATAATTGTCTTGTAATGCTTGATGGATGGTTTGAGTGTCTAATATATCTAAAATCGGGCGGATTTGCTTTTTATATTAGCCAAACCATCATCTCTATAAAGTCCGATGTTTTCCTTGCTAAACCTCTGAAAACCTCGGAAAACTAAGTAAGGTTATTTTAGATAAAATCAATTTCAATTTGAGACAAAAACTAAATTCAAATCAATGGAGAAATACGCAACAAGTAATTTCATGGTTTGGCAATATAAACGATAAAGACTGGCACAGTTTTATTTCATTTGATATTGGGGATTTTTACCCATCTATTTCCGAAAAACTTTTAAATGAAGCATTGGCCTGGGCTTCGGATTTGACTACTATTACCGAAAACGATATTTCAATAATAAAACATGCAAGAAAATCTCTAATTTTCGGCAACGGCAAATTATGGACAAAAAAAGACGGAAGCAACAGTTTATTTGACGTCACTATGGGTAGTTTCGACAGCGCTGAAATTTGTGAGCTGGTAGGCCTTTTCATTTTAAATCACTTAGGTAAGAGGTTTGGCAAGGAAAACATCGGACTTTATAGAGATGATGGTTTGGCTATTATAAAAAGCAAATCCGCCCGTTTACTAGACAAAACTAGAAAAGAGCTACACAAAATTTTCGAGCAATTTGACCTTAAAATCACCGCCGAAGTAAATATGAACGTTGTAAATTTTTTAGATGTTACTTTCGACCTGATCAACGCAAAACACAAACCATACAGGAAACCCAATGACGATCCATTGTACATCCACAGACACTCAAACCATCCACCAAGCATTACAAGACAATTACCTACAGCTATCAACAAACGCATTGCACTTCTCTCATCGGACGAACAAACATTTAAGGAATCCACACCTATTTACCAGAACGCTCTTACACATAGTAACTTTGATCATGAATTTACGTACACTCAGGATGCACCGCAACGGACACGTAGGAATAGGCAACGCAACATAATTTGGTTCAACCCACCATTTAGTAAGAGTGTTAACACGAACATAGGACGGGAATTCTTAAGTTTAATTGACAAACACTTCCCACTACAGCACAAACTACACAAGATTTTTAACAGAAACACTTTAAAAGTAAGCTACAGTTGCATGAACAACGTTAAGTCTATAATCACCAAACACAACGCACATATAATTAGGAACAGTCAATCACAGAATACGGAAACTGACAACTGTAACTGCGACAACAAAAACACTTGCCCACTACCGAAACAATGCATGACCAACAACATTATTTACAAAGCAACAGTCACAACGAACAACACGAACGACACTAAACACTACATTGGTATGACAGCGACTACATTTAAGGAACGTTACGCTAACCACACTTCATCTTTTCGTCATAAAAAAGACTCAAACAAAACGGAACTTTCGAAACATATTTGGAAATTAAAAGAAAACAATCAGGATTATACCATCAAATGGTCAATTTTAAAACACGCTATTTCGTACACAGGGGGATCAAAACGCTGCAATTTATGTTTGGAAGAAAAATTTTGCATTTTGAAAGACATAAACAAAGACAATTTACTCAATAAAAGAAGCGAAATTTTCGGCAAATGTCGTCACAAAAACCGGTTTCGAGTAAACAAGGTCGTTAACAAAACCTAATGACCCAAGCATGTATTATAATAATAATAAGCATTGTTTCGCCTACACGCATTCCGAACATCCTTTCGATAGCATAAAAGCAACCTACAATTTCGAAATTATTCACCACCTGATGATTCCTATACGGATGAAACAGACTGTTGTGGTTTTTTGAGGTAAAACGAAAAACTATATTACGCTCTATCTATATGGTATTGAGCACTGTTTGTGTTTCGTAAACCAAAATCTTAAGCTATATATATATATATATATATATATATATATATATATATATATATATATATATATATATATATATATATATATATATATATAGGCTATATATATATAGGCTATATATATATAGGCTATATATATATATAGGCTATATATATATATATATAGGCTATATATATATATAGGCTATATATATATATATATATATATATATATATATAGGCTATATATATATATATACTAAACATGAATTTGCTACATTTTGGGCTGCAAATTAAACCGCAAGCCTTCGTCAATTCAAATTTTATCACGATGCCTACTGTTCTGCCGGATATTCGGCATGTTCGTTAATTGAGAATTATAAACAAAGGATTTTCCTTGAGCCGTGACATTCGGTGCTGGATAAAGGACATGTCCTTTATCCAGCACCGAATGTCACGGCTCAAGGAAAATCCTTTGTTTATAATTCTCAATTCCTTTTTCGAGTATTACGCCTTCTGGCTTTGAGACATCGTATCCTATGCGTTCGGCATGACCTCTTATTACCGAAAAAGTAAGAAAAACCGAACAACCTCTTCAAAAGGCTTGTTTAGGACTAGGACTAGGAACACATGCCCACTCCTTACAAGCATAAAAACAGTACAAGGTTCTGCTGTTCTGCAAAAGTATGACAGCAAGCATCTTTAATTAAAGAGCCATACCGAAATCACATGTCCACATTAAATCTTTCAATTACAAGAATATACTCAAACGATATACGTAATTAATTAAAAGAAAACGAACAAGGTTTCTACATAACTTGGTCAATATTAAAACACTCAAATTCTTATTAGAGAGGATAAATGTAATTTGTGTTCAGAGGGAAATCTCTGCGTTTTGAAGGAAAAATATAAACAACTGTTACTCAACAAAAAACTAGAAATAGTTTCGATCTGTAACCAAAAAGAAATTCCCAGTAAAGAATAATAACAATGGAAGGAATGCATGTATATTCTTTGACTACTACCGTAAACATTTAGCCGCTCATTTTCGAAATTTGTCAGTCACCTCATGATTCCTCTTGGATAAAACAGGCTGTACGTTGTGCATCGCAACCTTTACAGATAAAATTAAAAAACCTCCACATCTGCTCTATCTGTATTATATCGAGCACCTTTAGCATTTCGTGAACCAAAACACACAATGTGACAACATGTCAACAATGTGACAGATAGACCTACTACAATTGCGTGCAAAAATAATGAGACTTTTCACATTTTTGGCCATTTTAAAGTACGTCGGCCTCCTCCCTGTCCCAATGATCAATGTTGGAAAAAGTGGGTTGAATTTTCTCTTTTCAGTCATCCACACAACATTGAATTGGGGGTGAGGGGGGCACTTATGCGGTTGTCTCAATAATTTTTGCTCCTGATTGTCTCTATTTGTACTTTTGAATAAAACGGAATTCGTTCATGTTGATTCAACTTAGTGCTGCAGGGAAGACGCTGACTTGGATTTCTTGCTTAATGAACCTTTTGCTATATAATAATTTTCTCAGCGGTTTTATATAACTGAGTACTTCATGTAAAAAAAATATAGGGATCTTGAGAACTATAGTTATTTTTTGTTAGGAAAGGGCGATTAATTGATGAATATATACATTGGAAGATTATAAAATAATGAATAAAATTCAGACTTTTTTCCCGTGGCTGACAATCATGAGTATATATTTTTTTCTCAAACAGAATATTTTCTTTATGTTCAAGTATTTTATAACAGACAACGCATCGTTCTGACCTACTTGTATACAATTTTGGAAACATTTCAATGATTTTCCTACTTTTAGCTGAATTGTTACGTAAGATTGACATACTCACTAGATTTAAAATCAAACTCAAGCATTTTATTTATGTTGATATATGGACTTACCGATCGTAAACTTGCACTAGAATTTATTGCAAACTTCCATCTCCTATGATTTTAGGATTATGTGAGATGAGCTCAAGCAAATCTGGTCGCACATGCGCAAAATATCAATCTATTTTTACGTACTGATTATAGACACGTTACACACACGTTACACCACACGTTACACCACACGTTACATAATAATCTGTAGTAAAACATATAGAGATACGACACGTTACACCAATTGTTATTAAAAATAAATATATATATATATTTACTTTTAAAAACAGTTGGTGTAACGTCTGCAACGTGTCATATTTCTATATATTTTCAGGGACCGCGGAGACGGGGGGGCTGGGGGGGCTTTAGCCCCCCCCACTTTTTTTGACAGCCAAAATTATTAAAATAGAAATCTAAATGAAACTTTCTAAATTAATTCAACCTCACCCTTTAGCCCCCCCACTCTCTAATACGCTCCGCGGGCCCTGATTTTACTATAGATTATTATGTAAAGTAGGTGTAACGTGTAGTGTAACGTGTGTGTAACGTGTCAGCGTTTGCTTAATGAAACCAAGTGCATAAAATTTACATGAACTAATCACTTTAGATTAGTTGGTGAACATCCATGCACAAGCAACAGCACATACTGCAGTATAAATGACAAAGTTTTCTCATTTTTCGTCATATGGCTAGGCTGAGGAACTCTCATATAATGATTCCCTCCTGAGGAAATGATGCAGGCTAATTGAGCTTAAAAGGACGTAAGAGTAGTTAAAACATTACATTAGATTTTTATGGCTTATTGGATGTGTTGTTACTATATCGCAAAGTATTTTAACAAATCGTGTTTTATCTATTTTCCCAAAGATTTTTTTCTAGTAAGTAAATAATAGTAAAAATTAAATTCGTTAGAAAAGCTCCTTTAATTTTTCCCGGTCCC